TTTCGAATTATTAATTTAACTATTTTTTCAAGTAGACAATTAGTAAAAATACCATTCCAATTTTTTTAAATATCAATTAAAACAATCCATCAATTTTTAGTTATTTTTAATATAAATTATAGTTACTAACTTTGATTTGATCAAATAAATTCCATACCAATTACGATTGGAAGAGCGAAAACTTTCAAATAAAATTTCAACAGGTTTTTTTTGAAAAGACTCTAATTTAAAAATCAAAACGACTTACTAGATGCATGTGTTATTGATTATTTTATTAACAATCATTACAAATGCATATTATTATTGTGACTATGAACGCAATGGTACTTTTTATCCAGGTAATTCAATTTGTTCAACAATAAACAATGAAAAAGTGAATTACGATTACAATTCAAACTCTCCGAGTATCAGAATCGAAAATTATACAAACACTTTAACTTTTAAAAATGTTCAGTCTGATATATACATTGGAATATATACAGAAACAGGTGTCGACACTATTAATATTTACAAAACTCAAACATTTAATAAGTCATATTTTTTATATACAAACAAAATGACTGAAAACATGAAAATAAAGTTGTATGGAAATCAAATGAAAAACGCAACATTAGTCGATAAAATAATATTTTCAAGTAAAAATATGGATTACTATCCAAAAGTGTTTTATAGTGGTGATAATTTCGAGAAATATTTATTTATTGATCTTAATTCTGGATATAACATTTTTACTATTAAAAGTGATAAAATAACAGTTATCCCAGACTTAGGAGTTGCTGCCACATACAGTGGCATGTATTATATGGGGACTTACAATGACACCAACAGAGTCTTTAAAAACTTTTTAATTGGTCAGATATGTGCATTTATCGAAATTGGAAATTCACTTTATCGATACTTTTGTTACTCTTCAAACTTCGCTGATTTGTACAATCAAATGACTTCACTAACAATTGCAAAAACAGAAACAAATGATTATGATACTGGAATCACTGAAATGACTTTCAATTTGAAAGACGTTGATATTTCAGGACCAGTAATTCTACGAATCAACATGAATGCGACATTTAATATTGATGAATTAATAATAAATTCAAATTGTTTAGCAACAAATAAAGCGACTTGGGTTGTATTAGCAAAAACAACATTAAATGTCAAATTGGTTGAAATGAAAAACACTCGATTTGTCGTGTCTGGAATACATTTTTCTAAGTTTGAAGAAATACGTAACACCAATGATATATACAACAATCCAGCTTACGTTTTCAACATTTCAATGCTCGAAAATAGAGGACTAACATTTCCCATCACAAAATTTACACATAAGGGCAGTGTTGTAATTCTTGGAACAGGAGTGACAACTGTGAGATCGCTAAACCCTGTCAATGTGACTTTTATGAATATTTCTAAAGTCTTTTTTGAAAATAATGGAGTTACAATTAACAGTGATATTAATGTCATTATGAATGACTGGAAATTTGTATATTTAACAAACACTACTACAGTACAAAATTTTGTAGCGGATGTGTCACAAACTACGATAACTGTATTAGATGGTTACATTTTAATAATAAATAATCTTCAATATTCATTTCCTGTAAAAATAAGTGGGAATGTTCAAATTAATAATGTTGTAATAAATAGAAATGCTGCACTTGTGTTGTACAATGGAGCTTTTATTCAAAATTTGACTTGCAGTTCCATAGACAAGAACAATGTGTTATATGATGGTGTTTTAACTCCAACTCAAACAAATTTGAAACAAGTTTGTCAATATCTATATGACAAGAAGAGCACATACAGAATTGTAGATAAAGACTCGAGTTTAGACTGTGAGTGCCACTTTTCAAATGGATCGTATTCAGGTGGCTTCGTTGAAAATGATTGTTCTCTTCTTGAAACGGAGTTTCTATTAGACTTGTCTTTAAACCCATTTTCTGTTGTGGATTTTGGCATAACAACATACAAAAATTTTAATTATTTACTTGTGGAGAGAGACACTAAAATTATTGGTCGTGCAGTTAGTGTTAATTCTTTTTCAGTTAATGCAATCAAAAATTTAAAAGAGAATATTAGTCTGGTATTAGATACAAATGTGTATTTGGGAAATGTTATTATTAATGGTAACTTCACTATACATTCATACAAACAGTTGACTTTAAAATTGCGAAACACTTTTATTATCAATGAAGAGAGAACAAACAACCCATATATCATCGTATGGCAAAACACCTTCCCGACATACCCCAAATTCTATAATTATAATTATGAAGAAAACGTGAGTGGCGATTTCTGCTTCGATTTTGTTTCATCTTCACATGAAATATTGGATATGCAAAACATATTGAATTTTAAGAATAATAAATATTTCTTTTTGGCTGATAACAAACTGATGAGATGGTGTCCGTCTGCTGAAAAGAATATCACTATAGTGAAGTGTTACTTAAATTCGACTATTTATCATAATGAATACGACATTGATGACATCGTATTTACCTTACCACATTGCCCATGTAAAGATTGTCAATTGTTCTTCCAAGAAAATGTGAGTAATTGTAAAAATAATGACATAATTGGAATTTTACAAATCGAAAAAGAAAAAACGTTAAACAACCCTGGTGTTATTTCAAAAGTAAATTTTATTAATGGATATTTAGTTGTATATGGGGGGACCAATTCAATCATTGAAAGTTTTGAAGGAAAAGTAAATCTGAAAACACGCAACAAAGTCACATTGAAGTTCGGTGAAATTGACTCTTTAGATACACTCAGTGGAATGTTGACAATTAATAGTACAAACGTTACTATTAATGCATTGAGCACGAACAATATGTCAAGTATAATAGCTTCAAATGAAACTACTGTTTTCAATTTAAAAAATTTAATGAGTAAATTGATGAATTTGAAACTTAAAACACTGAACAAAATTGATATTCAAATAGATTATTGCAAAAATGAAAATTGTGAAATTAATTTGAGTTCTGATAGTATAAAAGAAATCCACATTGAAAATACAAATACTAATAATATAAAGTACAACCTCACTGATGTACAGAGTGTTGAAAAAGTGAGTGTAAACACTACATCCAAAATAAATTTAAAATTTGTAAAAAATACAGAATTAAGTTTAGAGAATAGTGGAATTGTTATGTTATCTGCAACAAATAAACCAAATTTACACTTGAATTACTTAAATAATCAAATGTTAATTGTAGACTCTGAATTGAGTCTTGACATTCAAATTACAAACACTTTAAGTATTTTTTGTCAAAATAACAAAGGAATTACCGTTTCATCGAGTGGAACTAATGCAATTACTCTTTCGATATCTCAAAATTCATGCAACACAGGTTTTGTATCTGATGTGAAATTTACATGTACTTCATGTAACATTGGGTATAGACTTTATAAAGGTGTTTGCACAAGCATAAGATCAATACCAAATTGCGCAAATTATGATGAGAATGGGTGTGAAAAGTGTGAGAGTGGATTTTATACAAAAGACGGAGTGATGTGCATTGCATGTACTAACAGTTGTAATCGTTGCTCAAATACCACATGTTTTCAATGCCAAAAACAATATATTATTACTGAACAAACCACGTGTAAAAGAATTGAACAAACTAAAGGAATATACGAGTTTGATAAGTTTATTCAATGTGCTGAATCGAATTATATAAAAGAAAGCGAATGTTTAAGTTGTGAAATAGAACATTGTACTTCTTGTTTAGAAGATTTGAACACCAATGAAATAAAGTGCCTTATATGTGAACACAACTTTGTATTAAATGGCAACACATGCGAACAAAAAGAACAAGCTTTAACTTCTTCAAATTCGTTTGTCACTTCATGCAACAGTGGATATTATTTGGACAATGAAACCAATGAATGTCTACAGTGTAGTAACGATTCATCTTGTTCTATTTGTGACCAAAATGAATGTATACAATGTGCCAATGGGTTTGTAAAAATGTTTGAAAAGTGTATAAAAGTCGACCATTGTATTTCAATACTGAATGGATTTTGTCACATATGTGAAGGTGGTTTTATTACAAATAAAACCACGTGTTTTCAAAAAGTAGAGAATTGTGTAAATTATAATTTGGAACAATGCGTTGAATGTGAAAATCCATACATTTTATCAAACAACACATGCAACAATTATACTGAAGAATTAATGGAATCAATGAATTGTGAAGTGAGTTGGGATTTTGGCTGTTTGAGGTGTTCGGAATCGTTTTATTCATCGAAATATAAATGCGAGATGTGTTCAGATACTTGTGGTGAATGTCTATCTTCTTCTGAATATTGTATTTCATGTAATCAAACAACGTTTCTTGTGAACAACAAATGTGCATCAAATGATGAATTGAAAGAAAAATGTCAACAACTATCCATAGTCGGCGGATGTGCAAATTGCAATGATGGATATTATCGAGTCAGTTTTTCTTGTGAGAAGTGTCTTCCAGAGTGTGAAACATGTTTGACAAATACAACATGTTTAACGTGTAATTCAGAACATTTTAAGACTTATTCAGGTGTTTGCAAATTAAAGAATGAGACACTTGGATGCTCTGGAAATATTGATAGTGAGTATGGGTGTTCTTCTTGTGAAGATTGGTATTATCTAGAAAACAAAGAGTGTCACAAATGTTCAGACAATTGTGAAAAATGCAAACAATTTGGGACGTGTGAATATTGCACCGACAAATATGTTTTAGACAAAACACAAAAATGTGTCTTGTTTTCAGAAATCACCAACTGTGTTGAATCTCGTTCTTCAAAATGCACCAAATGCACTTTTTGGCACATACCAAGCGAAAATGGTTCTTCATGTGAAACACAAGCGGTGTGGTGGTTCATTGTTTTGGTTCTTCTGTTTGTATTCTTTGTAGTTTTTGTTGTGATCGTTGCACTCTATTTTACAGTGAAAAAGATGATAGCCCACAAATTGAAGAAAGAGCAAGAGAAAACAGTTTGTGTATTTAAGATGTCACGCAGTAACATTCGTTTCATTATGAAACTTTCATCATCTCTTTGTTCAAACAAAAGAAAATTAATATTCCCAGACAATGAAAATCAAGAGATTTGTGTTTGTCAAGAATCCAAAGAACTTCTTTGTATTGGCAATTTGACAAAAGGACGAGTTAAAGTGCAACTCAGTGCGAAAACTGGATGTGAGAAATACACCATACGTACTAACCCCGAGTTAATCATTTTAGAAAAGGGAGAAGCTTGCGAATTTGAAGTTTATGTGACGCCACTGTGTTCTTTCACAACAGAAGAAAAGATAGTCATATCATACAGTAAATCTAAAAGTCACAAACACTCACAAGTCACTTTCCCATTATCTGTCACAACAATTCTTTCGACACGTCTTGACCCCGATGAGCTTTTAGAAACTGAAAAAATAGGTGAAGGTTCATTTGGTGTTGTGTATAAAGGCACATTCAGAGGAAATTGTGTTGCTATCAAGAAAATCAAAGATGTGAGTGGTGATGAAAAAATAAAAAGTGAGTTTGAAGCCGAAGTTGACATGTTGGACAAGTTCAGAAGTGGTTACATCATTTATTTCTATGGTGCCGTCTTGTTCAAAAACCGCTTTGCACTTGTCACAGAGTTTGCTGATTTTGGGTCGTTGAATGATTTGATGCAACGCAAGAAGTCAAGTGAAGTAGACATTAAGGTACGAATTAAATTGATGTTGGATGGTGCTAAAGGAATTTATTATTTACACGAAAATGGGATACTACATAGAGACATCAAACCAGACAACGAGTTGGTCTTTTCTTTGGATTTGAATGAAAGGGTGAATGGGAAGTTGGCCGACTTTGGGAGTGCAAGAAATGTGAATATGATGATGACTAATATGACTTTCACAAAGGGTATTGGAACACCTATATATATGGCTCCTGAAGTGTTAAACAAAGAAAAATACAAAAAAGAGGCGGACGTCTTCTCATTTGGGATGACAATGTATCAGACTTTTAAATGGAATAAAATATATGACAAGACAACGTTTCCATGGATTATTGCAGATAAAATATGTAAAGGTGAAAGACCATCGCTAGACTGTATCGACGAACGTGTGAGAAATTTGGTTGTCTGTGCATGGGAACACGAAAAAAGCAAGCGCGAGTCCATCCAAGTTATTGTTCAAAGAATTGAAATGATACTCAACAACTTGTAATTCATATTTAATGCATTGCTATTTTTTGTTATTGCTACTTCTATTTATAAAAATAATTTGTATTAAATATTAATTATGTGTAAATATCAACAAGAGTTGTTTGATTGGAAATGAATTGTTAAACAGTTGCATGATAATGTTGGTGGTATTTGTTTGTGTGTCATTTACAACATAATTTCATTTTAATCTCATTAACTATGGTTTTTATTTAAATCATTTTTATAGACAATTCAGACTGAACCATAAAAATATTTGATAATAATTTAGGTTATGACATCTCATTATTTTTATAACTTTTAAATTGTTTTAATAATTCCGTGTTTGTTATAAATAATTAAAATCATTATCTTGGTAAAAGTGTAACAAATATATGACGGTTTCATTTTAATTACTTTTTTGAATAATAGCGGTATGTGTTGGGAAACAATTATCACCATTAAACGTGACACTTGATGGTATAGTCACACTACCAAGACTGCTACATCCATTGAAACATTCATCTCCAATTGATGTCACACTTGATGGAATTTCTATATTGCTCAGATTACAACATCCATCAAAACATCCTTTGCCAATTGTTATGACACTTTATGGTATAACTATATTATTCAGACTTCTACATAAATTGAAACAATAATTACTAATCAAAGTGATATTCGATGGTATTGTTACACTGCTTAGATTTTTACATCCATTAAAACATTCATCTCCAATTGACGTGACACTTGTTGGTATTAAAATATTGCTCAGACTTAAACATCCATCAAAACAATAATAACCAAATGATGTGACACTTGTTGGTATTACTATACTACTCAAACTACTACATCCACTAAAACATTTATCGTCAATCAATTCGATAGTAGATGGTATATTTATATTTTTAAGAGAACTGCATTTACAAAAACAACTATTGCCAAGTTTTAATATACTCGATGGTATAGTCAGAATACTAAGACTGCTACATCCATTAAAACAAAAATCTCCAATCGACGTGACACTTGTCGAAATTTCAATATTACTCAGACTTAAACATCCAGAAAAACAACAATCACCTATTGATGTTACACTCGATGGTATTGTCACACTGTTTAGATTTATACATCCAGTAAAACAACCCCTTTCCATTGATTTGATCTCCCATGACATCAACACACTGCTAAGACTACTATATTTATCAAACCTATTATCACCAATAAATGAGACACTCGGTGGTATAACTATATTACTCAAATTGCTACATTTACAAAAACAAAAATTACCAAATGATATCACACTTGTTGGGATTTCTATATTGCTCAAATTACAACATCCATCAAAACAACCAGAACTGATTGATCTGATTTTTGGAGGTATGATTATACTCTTTAATTTTTCACATTTCTCGAAACAATTATCTTGTAACGATCCAATGCATTGTGGTATTTTAAAACCATATACTTTTGTGTTATTTTTGGTATAAATCACATTTTTAAATTTGATGTTTAGACTACTGTTTTTGACAACGGTTCCGTAATCAACTTCGAACCATGCTATAATTTGGTAAAACACTTTCTTTTCAGTTACGCTTTTTCTTTTGTTTACTTCTTCATAATATTCATAATCACCATCCTCCACATTGACTATAAATCCATTCCCAAAATTTTCATTATATTTCTTCCATAAATGAAGTGTCTCGATATTTGGGAGGTGTTTAATTGTAAATTTGGTGATTGGAATTGGGTTGAAGTGAAACTTCTTCATGTTGTCATTGAACTTCTTGCATACAAACTCGAGATTGATGAAGTTTTTGATGGTATTAAAATACCCCGAAACTATCATCATGTGATAACTGTCAAGTTTGGACATTTTGGTACCGATGATTACTTGTGAGTTTAAATAATTATAATGAAATGATGTTTATATTTTTAACAAAAGTTTTATTTAAGGGATTCATGAGGATTGTTAATTTTTCTGAGGATGGTAAATATCTTAAACATAATTTCTTTCAATTTAGATTTTTTTTGCCTAAGATCAAAAAGGTATATTTTGAAACACACGATTTTCTTTAAAAATGCTATTTATGGATTTTTTGAAAGATGATTCTTTCAGTTGATTTTTACAAAAAAATAATCTACTTCTATTTTCTGATTTACCACAAGACTAACTTTGGTTTATATGAAAACATTTGACAGACATTTAAATTATCAAAAAAGTCAATTTTTTAATCAAAATCACAAAACAAATTAATCTAACAATTTTTAATCTTTTTCACAAAAAAAATTTATTATAAATCAATTCATGATATTTCAAACAATAAAAATTGATAGCAAATAATGTATTAATAACGTATATTCTATGCGATGACAATTTATGTATTTGCGCAAATTCAAAAAGAGAGGTTTTGGATATCGATAAAACAACGATTGATAAATAAACAAATTTTTTAAATTATCATTTTTGTTTTAAACGGTTTTATTTATATTTCAAAACATATATACACAAGAAATATATGTTTATATAATTATTTTTTATACAATATCAATTCTCAATGAAAATGTGTTCAATTTATTAATCAATTTTATATATTATTTGGCTTTT